AACAGTTTGATTCAAAAGCTTAGGGTCGGCACAAGTGGGTATGCCATTGACATAATTATAAGAGCACATAACATTGTTATCCTCTTGGATGGCTAAGATGCTGTACTTAATTTTTAAAATTTTATTGTAGGGGTGTTTAGCTAAATTAACAAACGTGACGAGTTAAAAAAACAATCTAAATATTATCAAACAACTATAAAAAGTATAAGAAACAGACCCTATATATCTAGCATTATTGCATGGAAGGAATAAAATTCTCTGCTATTTAACTTATTTTTTATATTCTTTATTAACAAGTGACTTACTAATTAGTATACAAAATATAAATAACTCAAGTATATATTTTACGCAGAATTACATGGTACGAAAACGATAATATTAACAAGTGACAAATCATACCCACTGGCGATTATCGAGGTCGAACATATAAATTCTTCAAGAGCTCAACAGTGTATCCATTTGGAATTTTGGATACGGTGTCAGCTACACTCAGTTCAAATGCAACTTAGCATCAGGAAATAAGTCGATCGGCATCAAATTTCATATAAAAAATCTCCTTTGTCGCAAAAATGGCACCCAGCCACCCTCCCGAATGCTCTGCATTCTAACGTATGACATTCCATGTAATGAAACATTTGTGTTTGAAATGGGAGTTCAAAATACAGGACACATGGATGGTAGTGAAGTAATCTTGGTTTATTCGCAACGACCCAAAGGTATTGAAAAGACTCATATAAAGGAGAATGATCGGATTCCAAGAGAGTTTTTGTGACTAAAGGACAAACTACGAATGTTAAGTTTGAATTTGATGTTTGCAAGAGCTTAGGAATTGTGGACTATGCCACGAATAGTCTTCTACCATCGATAGGGACACTATTTATCAATATAATTGAATAATACGCAAATTTTATACCCCAAGCGGAAAATTCACGTATAATTCAACCGAATTATTTTTAAACAAAAAAGCATTATTTAAGAAGGGACTAGGACGCCGTTACTTTTGAATTCCCAGGTGCCAGGCGTTAATTAGTCAACAAATTTGAGGGTTGGAGTGAGACATACTCTGACATAGGACCGCACAATTGCAAAGAGTCGATAGATTTACTCATTACTAGTTGCTTAAAAAATTAATGAGTATTGAAAGTGGTCTGGGGAGTGGGGAGTGGCAACTTTCGATATAAGAAAAAACATGGATTGGATTAATATTCATAATAGTATTTAAAGTGGTAAGAAATATATTATTTAATGAGTTAAAAGTTTAGGTGGGCTGGCTCCTAAAAACACTTGTAAAACTGTGACTGGCCAAATTTATGGCCCAATTGAAGAGGAGATTGAGAAATCAGATTGCATAAATACAGTTATATATAGAGCATTTGTGTTATATTATTAGGTTTAATAATTATTAGTTAATTAAATACTTTACATTTGAAATGCTATATCGATTTTTAATAAAGTGGTCTATGAAAAGTGCTAAAACCAGGATTGATATGACCGTATTTTTCAAAACGTATTATTAACAATGTATCGTATTAAACTTGTATATATCCGTATTATATTTTTTCCATATCCGAATTTAAGCTGAATTTTTACAAACGTATTTTTCACCATTTGCCGTATCATACCCATAAAATTCTCGTACCTTTTTTTCTCGTACCCATATTTACTAACTAGGGTTTCATGTGTATGGTATTTTCCTTTGTTTTAGGTAATTGTTATATGCCTATATAATTTAGGTATTTGTGGGATTGTGTGATTCTATGACCATATAGTTTGGATATTTATGGTATTACCCAAAAGTTTGTAATATTCTTCCGAGGATAGTGGAGTTTTTTTTTTTACAACATCTGAGGATGTAGGTAATAATACTTAATCTAGTTAATTTTGGTGTTATTTAATTTCAACCATTTATTTATGCTTTTGAACTTGTTATTATTATATTTCAATAAATAGCGTTAGTGATCGTATTTCCGCTACATAAAAGAGTAAAACACCAAAGGTTGCTCTTAGTCGACAACCAGGTTGAGTGTTGCTTTTTTCTGAGTTTTTTGTTTTTCCTTCTTAGGAGTAACCTCCTTTTCAGAAGTAACTTTCTTCGTAGAAATACACGTCAAACGTTAAAATTTCGGGTTTCTTCTTTTTGAAGTATCAGAGTCATAATCTCGACTCTTTCCTTCTCTAACCTGCTTTGCTGCAATGACCTGCTTAAGAGTAGAGATCACCTGTTTATCCGTAGTCTTCTCCTTTTTATCACTTCTTATATATAGTTTATGTCTTGTGACTCTAAATTTTACTTTATGGGAACACCGTAAAATATGACTTTGAATTTTGTTTATGAGAAAATCTATTTAGTTTGTTCTGAAACAAATTTTAGAAAGGGAAAAATCTTCTAATATTTTTTTTTTTTTTTTTTTGGAAAAATCTTCTAATATTTTTTTTTTTTTTTTTAACAATTAAGAGAAGAATAATTGATTCATTCTTGTGAGGTGCACCTTCTAAGTACTCATGTTTTAACTTCCGTCAAATTGTGAGTACTTTGATCTGACCTTGATCATTTATCGTAACTGCTTGTTGGCTGATGACTGTGCTGCTATATTAAGCATTGTTCTCAAGAGTTTCATAACTTCAGCAGTAGTTTGTGGGTGGGAAGAGAAAAAATGCTAGCTGAACATTTCTTTTGTTTCGATACATAATTGTTATATTGGCTAGGTTAATGGAGAGATATAACTGCTAGTTCGGGATAGTGATGGCAATGGGATAGCAATGGGCCGGGTACCCCTTGGCCCAGGCCCAAGCCTGTCATAGATATGATAAGTAAAACCCAAGTTAGACCCGACGAGTTTTTTGTAACCTCAGGTCCGACTCAAACCCGCCCATTTTTATAATATGAATTTTTAAATATTCATAAATTTCAATTTTTTTTTTATATTTTTAATTATAGAAACAATTTTTAAATATTAATTTATTTTTGAATACTCACCACATATGTAAATAACTTTCCACAAAATGCATCTATCCATCTATGTAGGATTTAGGAAAAATGAGTATATATATGTAGGATAATCTTGCAATTAAATATATAGTATAAGGGTAATTTAGTATAATTAATACTAAAATTATCGGGTCGAGCCAGGCTTGAAGACATACCCAAGCCCGGCCCGTACCCAAGGTCGGGCCTTAAAATCAGGCCCAAGCCCGCAAACATCAGGTAAAGCCCGAACTTTTCAGGACGGGACGGGCCGAGTACCCGAAAATATCGGATCCATTGCCATCTCTAGTTCGGGTGAGGAGAACCCATGTTCAACCTACAATGCCTGTCATAACATTCTGGTTTATCTCATCAAACAAACAAATCAATTATCTCTCCCACAACCTGGGTATATCCAGAATTGGGATCTGCAGAAATTTTTGTGATTTACAGTGGTGAAACTTCAGATGCTGCATATGTGAATGTTGTTAATTGTCAAGATATTTTTCTTGGTTTAATAGTATTGTTAATTGCATAGAAGTTGATGTTTTGCAGATCTGTGCATCTGAATTGAAAGCAAATTCAACAATTCAATTATTATTTCATTGTTCATTGTTGAACTTCCAAACTCAGTACTGCTTTAATGACAGTGGCTTTACTCCTGTTCATCACAAATTGGTGAACTAAAATTGAAGAAATTAAAATGAAACGATTCAAAGGTAACCAAGAATGAAATATGACAAAAGTATTTAACTCATTAACATAGAGCTGGAATGATATCCATGTTACTTGCTCTGCTTTATTTGATGGTATACATAAAGTTATGCTCTTTTCCCAAAATACATACAACCTATAATGGAAACAATTACGTGACCGAAGCTCATATATATCACACCAAAGAGTTCGGCAAATTAGCTACTGGGCATCCCCCCACTTGAGATGGATCTTTCTGAAAACTGCAGAGTGAATTATTCCAGAGGAAGCTGGTCGTGAAAACAATAACTTGGTAAAATGTATAAGTTATCTATGATCATCGTTTATTACTATGGGGGCTGCGACTGACTCCAGCATTAAACCATTTTACACCCAGATGAGGAATAAATAAGCATCATAAGGCCAAAGTGAAAGATTGAGCTCATTTAGCAATTTTACATGGCAAGGTATCAAAAAGATGGCAACGACAAACTTACAGATGTCTCCGAGTCACCAGTCAAGTATGAATTAACCAGCTTTCTTTATTTTTTTAATTCACTTATTGTACAATTCCAACTCTTTTTCTGACAAGAGTCGTTCAGCAATTCAGCTCAAGCCATATATCTTGTAGGAAGAGCAAGGACGTTTTGGTATGGAAAGATGACTTATGTAGGACTCACACTTGATATCTGCATTTATAGTTCTGAGGTCACTAAAGGTCCCTTGTATTATAGGAAGGGTAAAAAATTGAGAACAACAGGGGTAGGAAACACAGAATTCGGGGGAGAAAACAAAAATTCATTAATGAATAATCCATCAAGTCTTCAAATGAAAATCTACTCAAAATATGCAACTTAAAACATAACTTACTGAAATAACACTCAAACAAGTAATAATCTGAATGAAATATTAAACTGTAAATAAAATACTTCATCTATAATTTTCTGACACCTTATCTCTTAAACAAGAAAGAAGACGGCCTTACAGATAACAGAAAAGTGTATCTAAGTTCAAGTTGGCTATCCCTACACAGCATGGTTATTAAGGATACCATCAACTTTAATGTTAAAGACAACTATCCAGTTAAGATCAAACGAGCAACATTTAGGAGATCGGATAAATTAAACAAACAGTTGCATCTATATACATTGGACAGGTAGAAGAGCTAGGAGAAAAGAAGGGTTGTGAACCTGGCTTTGTGCGCTTGCTGCAGTTGTCCAGCGCTCAGGTTGATGTATTGCTGCTGCTGAACTATCATGGATGAAAGCTATCATTCTTGATTCATCTTGCCTGTTGGTTACTACTACAGGTGGTAACTCTCTCATGACCCATAATACAAATGTCGAGGGTACTGAAGAACCTAGAACCATAAAATGCAAAAAAGTTTTTACAGCACTTGGTTTAATTACTGTCTTGCAAAGGCAGTACCAACAGAAAGGATGTGTAGTGAAGCTGTCCTAGGTGATCAGACCCTATTATACCTTGTCTACTATGGAATAAGAACACTGAATCACCATAATTCTAATAAAACTGAGAATCTTGCAATTAGAGTTATTTGCAATATTAGTAAATCAGTCAACATAAATATCCCGTTTATCATATGCAGTTAATTTCAAAACTTGGAGAAATGTTGTATTACTTACCTACAAAATAATATAAGATCAGTAAAGAAATAGTATAAACGCCATTTATTTGCAATTCTTGCCAATGATATAGGACCTGCAATGAAGATCCTATGGTTGCTTTAGAATCTCAATAACAACTACGTAAAAAAAATGTAGGATATGGTGAAGTGACAAATACATACCGGAATTCCAGTTAAAAGGGCTATGATTGCACTTGGTGTAAAACATAAAACAGAGACAACAGCCAATCCTGCAATCTGACACATACCAACACCATTTCACGCCAGGGAATAATGAAAACAGATAAACTTGGACCTAAAACAGCTCGTCTATAGATACATACAGAGAAAATGCTGTAAATAAAAAAAATGAGTGAACATGATAAACGACAGGCTTTCTAAGTATACTATAAGAAGGAGCTATTAAAGCTACAGTGTACTCACATTTCAGAGAGCTCTCTCAGATTAAAGTCCTCATTTTCACGCATAACAAGAGTCTGGACATGAAACACAGCACAGAATAATGTATTTTAAAAACAAAATAAAAAATGATAATAGAAAAACCTTGTAAAGGTTATTCATTTAGCCACATGGCCTTAGAAGGAAATAGATAAGAAAAAAAACTTCTCTGACATTTGCCCATACTCGTAAAGTGTCTCACTAGGGCATCTTATTGCACATGAGGTCTTTATTAGTGAATTTCTCAAATAATTAAGGGGAGGCTAACATTGACTTAATTCCTGCCTAGTAATAAAAACATCTAACTCTTGCAGATCCCTCAGATACTTTAAGTGAATAACAGAACATTCACAACAGTTTGAACCTGATGTTATTTATACTACTTAAATGTACATCCTTTAATGGTTACACAGATGCTTTAATAAAATAAATAAGAAAATGGAGGGGAGCCTCATATATACCAGGCATGAAAATAATAAAAGCAACAAAAGAAGCAACTCTCAGGACTCCACTACTATAAAAGGTAGGTCTTACTAAGAATCCCTCATGTTACAGCTTACTAAGGCATGGAATAAGCAATGGGCCATGTGAAATAAAGATGGCCATCCATAAACACATAAGTCTAAGATACCTTGGTAAATGTTTAATTAGCCCACAAAAATAACGGGAATCCACTCCAGAATTCCGAGAACAAATAGTAGCTTTTTACCATCTCTTTCGAAAAGGTATTCAAGAACTAGTTATCAAGACATCAAGTTAAGTAAGCTAGTTTGGGTTCTTCGAGCTCACCATATCTCAACCAACAAACAAAAAGGTTCATATAACTAAGTGCCATATGTCCAAGTGTAAAGTAATACTGTAATGATACACTCTTGGGTTCAAGTCAATGAATGCACTCTGAATTTATAAAAACAGGTTGGAGTTGGTCACGATGGCAGAATATACACAAACTAATTTCTAGGGGTAAAGAAGGAAATGATTAATTTACCTGAAGGATAAAGTTGTGATCAATAGTCACAAGAAGAACTCTTAAAGAAAAACTATCATTGAACAAGTCATAGGAATCTTTTCAGCATCAACTGTTGAAACCAATAGATTATCTACACAAATTGGTGGCAATTTCAAGGCAATTTTGGCTCCAATAAAATAAAGCAAGAGGGGAAAAGTTGTTAGAAAAAATGGATAATACCAACATGTCAATATTAAGACTGTATCAAATGGTAGTGCTCACATAAATGCTATGCTCCTCCTAATATAGCATTGCTCTTGAAAAAGAGCGCATACACCGGCAAGAATTACAATCATTGGCACACGCGTTATAAATAGAAAAAAAAAAAAAAAAAAAGGAAATAATGAAAAAGAACAGAAAGAAATCTCAATCAGTGTTCGAAAATGAACCACTTTTTAATACAATACAAATTTTTTCACTTTTTGCAAGTTTACTACTAGCACCTCTCTCAAAAAACAGCAAAATCAGCCCATCTTTTATGAAAATGACAGTTAAGAGAACACTGCCTTCGCAAAGCAAACATATCAGAAAATACAGGATGGCAAACAACTCTGCCGTGTGACGATATAAAGATGACACCATTACGATGAGAAGAAAGCACTCAAGAGTCTTCAAACTAAAGCTAAGACAATGTAAATAATATAGAAGTTTGATGTTTTGTGTAAAGACATTTCCACCTATAAGGAAGAGAGATAACTTGTCTAAACCTAAATACCATCAATGTGCTAGATTCCAAAATTATTCCTCGCATGCAAAAGAAAGGGTCTATGCAAGTTCCTTGTTCACTAATGCATCAAGGTTGCAATCTTCTAAACCAAGCAAAAATTTGAGACGTCTATGAATAATGGTTTCAAGAAGTATCATATAGAAACATCATAGAAATGTGCATGACATGTATTCCAAGGTATGCAAAATCTTAGTATAGATTAAGATTTTATCTCCACTTGACAGAAATGCTTTGTATTTACAGAACAAAACACTCTTGCATCTTATGTGCTGCCGATCAAAGAACATAATGCGGGAAGCAAAGTTATATAAATAAATCAGCACACCATTTCAGTGTAGAGGTGGATATGAAAAATACATTGCAGTAGAATGGACCTGTAGACTGCCTCAAAAGTCATGCTCCATGTTGGCAGGTTTCATAACACCCACAAAGTATTGAACTACAAACAAACAGAACCCACGAACCAATATACAATGCTTTCAGGTAATAGATCAGAATACTATGGTAGCAAATGGCTGAGAAAAACGTTGAATGTTAACCCTAAAGAAAATAATAAACCAGACAATATAGGGGCAAGTCTTGATGCACAACATAAAGTGGAGGGTAAAGGTGTAAAACTATTATCTAAATCTATACCTGTGCCACCACCGAGAATTGATAGGAATTACTCCCAGACCAAATCCAGATTACACACGGCAAATGTAATCATTATAAAAATACTAGAACAGTAACTGGAGGACAAGTACAAGAGTTAAGGATGCGGAACAGGATTAGTCAATATGTTCAACACAGGGCTATGTACAAAGGATAAAAGACCAAAAAAATAACCAAGGACACGAGGCATGAAGAAAGAAATTAATAGAAAAAAATTATTATTGTGCATACCAAATCACAACTTTTGACGGTCTTCCCACATGAATTGATTGGGAAAGGAACAATATTCTTGTACTAACTGCACTTGATGAACTCGGTTTATGTAAGACCTCTTCACACAAAGCTCCAGGACAACCATATTCATCATCATCCTTCTTCTTCATCATAGCCTGATGGGCAAAGGCGATCTGGCAAAAATCCCATAGAGACGAGAGAGTATGGCCTGAGGAGAACATGAATATTTCATGTAGAATGAATATTACTGGGGGAAATAGATAAACTCAATGGCAAGTAGTCATGATACATTGAGCAGTACATTGCAAAATTACCATATAGACATAAGTATACAAAGTCTTAATTTAACCTGAAACTTAAACTGTTAACACATGTTTATGCAGAAAATGATACCGAAGAAACATTACAGACTCCACCTTGCATTACATTAAAATGAAACATTATCTGATCATAGATTTTCAGAAAAAACAAGAAGACTACAGAAATGAAAGAATAGTGAAAAAAGCTTGCCAAACAATAGAATTCTGTGGGATGGCTGCAAAGAAACCTTGCACAATTCAGATACTACATTAAACCTTAATATAACATTGGAACCAGAGTCTATCCCCATAGCATAAAACCACAAGCAGGTGACGACCAGCACTGCCATCGTAGCAGGCAGCATGGTCAAGAGTTAAAGCAACGCTTAAAGGAAAAACCTGCCGGTCAGCACATAAATTAAGCAATTTAATTCCAACACAAAGGTAAACACCATCACTGTTACAGTAATAGTTTGTCAGGGTACCACAATCTTCATATTTACAAACTCTGTTTTCATACTGATTTTTTTCACTTCCAATCTGTCTTAAAATTGCTTAGTAGCAAACTAATAAAGACTGCTTGTACCGTGAACCCTACAAAGTGGCTATAGCGTAAACATCACTTAGAAAAACATGCTTCTCCTTCCAACTGTGCAATTATCTGTTTTCTATTCTTGTCTAAGCATATCTACTTTTTTTCTTTTTTTTTTTCTTTTATTTTTCCCCTCTTCATTACTCACTATGCAATTCATGACAAGTTCCGACCATACCGTAATCTCACGAACTATGTATTACACCAAAAGAAAATAGTTACATTGATTAAATCAAAAGTTTTGTTTAATTATAATATATCAAAATAAACAAGAAAAATCTAACTATAAAATAGCTTATACGGAAATGCAAAAGCTTTGACAAACTAGAGGCAAAAAAGATAGCTATCAGTACTTAGCCCGCACAAAGGAGAAAAATATTTACAATGTCTAATCAAGGACAGTTCGTGATGATAAATAGGTAGACAAAGCAAGATTAAATGAAGGATCTGAAATAAATTTTTACCAACATATTGAAGAGCAAGCATATAGATGAAAACCTAGCATTAGCATTCCACTTGTATTAATGTCAATATACTTAGAACGCAAAAACCATCAACAAATTCTCCACACTACAGCACAGTGACAAAGGAGCCATGAGAAAAGTGAGAGACGAAAGCACTAACTTGATCATATCACCATCAAAAGAAAGGTAACAAAAAGAGCGGCATAGTATACACAATATAAGAGACACTTTAACATGATGCTGCACCTTACAAGGTCACAGAGGGGCTCCTACCCAAAGTCGATAACCTTTCTGATGAACTGATGCTCTCTTCTCCTCTCTTAAAATACTACTGGGAAACTGATGGCGTGGTAAATATTCCCACATTCTCCGCCCAAAGCACGTACTTCCAATCCCCTTTTCTTGTAAAAACAAATAAAGTCAGAAACTTATGCATGTGAATATGTCAGACTGTTCGTCACCAGGTCAAGGTTATATTTCTTGTACTGGATTCAGAAGATATCCGAGCCATCCAGCTCCCGTATAAATCAAACCAAATCAGAGTCACTCAAATCTTCCTCTACGTCCTGAGTTTCACAAAAATGTTACTTAGGCGTCACACAACAAAACTACATTGGATCTACAAGCCCGTCTTCCCCAGGCTGATGTAAAGAAAGCTTAATAACTCGTGGCAAAGCTCTCAGTTCATTTAATAAAAATATAACTTATGAAGGTACATTTGGCAGGAAAGCCAGCAATTCCTTTTTGTCCGTCCAGCGGTTGTGACTTCCATTGATCCTTATTAGCTGAACATTACAGAGTAGGAAATA